CTGAGAGGGCTATAATACACAGACAGGCCTATGCCTCTAGTCTAAAAAAGATAAAAGGACTTTTATTTGAATGTTAATTCCAGTATCTATTTGTTGTTACCTGGATTGAATGAGCATTGCAGCTCATGCAATCCAGTGGCTACTTCGATTTACCTATTTAGTAGTCTTTTCTTATGCGCGGGACCAAGCGACTCTGGTCTGGCAATCCCACCTGCGAAACCGCGAACGCGGTCTGCCCATGTCACCATTGGTCTGGTCATTTTGGTCATATTCTTGCCGTCCGTACGTTGTCCGCCAGCTCCAAAAATACTACTTCCAACTCGCTCCTGAGATGTCGTACTTGTTGTATTGAGCTTCTGTTTCATGGAACGTGCATATAAAGCGCCTTTGCCCATGGAAATCATGTTTCCTGTGTGAGACTTGAAATCTTCGCGTACCGCGAAGGCCACGTCAACCCATGCCTTCACTATCGTTGAATCATCGATCTTGATTGTAAGAGGCATGTCTATTGTATTGTTTAAATATGAGAGAACCCTTCGGAGTTTCTCACAATCTTCTACAGAGGCCTTTTGTACCCGTCCTGTCAGAAATGCGATTGGGACCATAATGTCTGGTCTGCATTGCTTCGTGACCCACAGTAGTTTCTGCACCTCCGCAACTCGTCCGTCAATCGACCGTTTTGTGGATTGAAAACTTCTTTGACTACTGAACAGCTTTCCACGCACCCCTGAGCTGGGGCATTACTGAAGCAAAAAAGTTGTTTTGAATCGTTTCGTCCGTCGCAATGAATCGTTTCGATTCCTTTGAATCGTTTCAAAATCATTTGAACGGTTTCGTTGGCTTTTATACTATGCTGGTGCAACTATTTATACTAGATCCCCCGGGGAAAAAGAAGGGGGAAGAGGAAGAAAAAGGAAAGAAAACGAAAAGAAAAGAAAAGAAAAGAAAAGAAAAGAGGAGAAAGCAACAGGATTGCAATAAAGTGTCTTTCCAACACAGCACTGGCCTCATGCATACCGTCGCAAGAATATATACTCTATGATCCTGGCTCTAGCCAGGATTTTGACAGATTTTGAACAAGGTAACAATGATTGTTTGATGTATGTCGACCGATGCCTCTGAAACTTTTGAAAAGATGTTCGAGCACCTCTAATAACATCATCTGTGCCTTCATATCGCAGATCCAATCAGAAATCGGAGATTTATCGCACTCTGAATTTGAGGTCACGAACATTTCAAGATATTCAGCGTAGAAGTTGACGTCATTGATGATGGTAGTCAAATTTTGCGTCGTCAATGGACTCAATATTTTGGGAATCAAGCAAGGTGAGGAAGGACCAAATCCAGGCTCAAGCTCGCCGCCAAAGAGACTACATGTGTATTACATGATTGAAGAAATGCAATAATCA